TTTGCGCTTGAGGCAATGACGCAGTTAGTGAGGTGAAACCGAGACGCGTCAATTGCTGGTTGAAAACTATTTCCATTTCCATTACCAAACTATGAAAAATGACATTGTAGTATTGTTTTGTTCAAATGAAGTTTCCAAATTTTTCACAACCAAACTTTGGTGAGATGATAATTCCAAAATCAGAAGTTAGTTAAAATATCTAAAATTATTATTTATGTTTTTTTCATATATTTTTCAGTGTATTAAAAAAAACATGTGCAAATATCAATTCAAGATTTTAATATGCCAAGTACATCAAGTAGTTTCCATTATTCAACAACATGAAATATGTATTGAATGATGAATATGAAGAGTTAAGATTTACAAATGCTCCATGATTGTTAAAAGATAATGCTCACTCATTATGGAAGCATGTTGCAGATCTCAAGATGAAGCAAGATTATGGAAATGTAAACTTGAATCAAGATGAATCAAATACATTGATAGGAAAAAATTCTAATAAAAAAAATATGTGTGTTGAAAAATCAAATAAGATTTGTATGCAAATATAATAATAACAACTTAGAGTGATAGCAAAGCACACAAATTATGATGAGTAAATAATGCATGACTTGAAAGTTCAACAACATGTTAGTTAGCAATAGAAAGAGACACACTAACAATAGTTGATATATTTGTCAACTGTTGTTATTGTATTTGAATTTGGGTTTGTTGATTGGCTTAATATTAATAGAAGGCTAGGAATTGTTGACAAATTCATGATGCAAAGATCATGAAAAATATTTTGATGAGTTATTTGAAGAAAAAACAATATCCAAATTGTCAAAGATATTTTCCAGTAATTGGATAAAAAATTATGATGACATTTTGTTTCACAAGCATTTTTGGTTGTGGAATTATTAATTATGCTAAAAATGATCGATACTTGATACTAATCTGCTAATAATATTTTGAAAATAACTAAACTATCTTGTGAGTTTTAAAGAAAAAAAAGCTAACAATATTTGTATTTGAATGGTTGATGATGATTTCAATGATGAAAGCTCTCAATAAGACTAAATTTAACACATACATTGCTCGTTTTGAAATTTGTGCCCTAAATCTTATGCGTAAATCTAAAACTCGATCAAACAACATCTCAAGAGAAAGCTACTTGAGGCTTTTAGAAATCATGCACATAGAGGCCAAAGACGACAGGAAAGCTGGTGACAAAACACAAAGCTATGGGCCAAAGACGACAGCAAAGTTTGTGACAAAAAACACAACGCTATGGATTCTTCTAGACTGTACATCAAAGGAAACTTGTGCAAGAAGACTGGGACTACTTGTGAAACATCGAATGTCATATGAAAGTTCTTCTGCTAACTTTATGCCATCATTCGAGCAACTTCTGTTCCTTGGGCGGATTAGTTTGAGATAATTATATTTTCAAACATATGCTCATCCAAATGAGGTGCGATGTCAATCATTAACCTCCTCCACATCATAACCCTCACTCCGCCTAAAAAACCCACAAAAAAAAAAAACGTAAAAACCAACCTCCAAGCACATAACACTTTGATGAGCACAATCCTAAGTGAAATAAAATCAATATTGTACCGCCCTCACTTGTTTACAAATAAGAACCAAGCAGCAAAAGTTGAACGAGTGAAGGAAAGAATAAGCTTCTCAGACGGTACACCGAGCTGGGATTCAATCCAATCATCAGCCCGTATGCATTCCGTCAGGGTGGCTTAATGTTCTAGCTTCAAAAAACTAAATTGGCGACCATTCTATGAATTGACCCTCTCCGTAAACGCTGGAAAATTCTAAAAATCAACCCCAAGAGTTGACTTGAGCAATACAGCATCTATCTCACGTTGTTTGATGACAGACTTTATATCCAACACTATCCTAGTAGCTTTAGATGGTGTTGAATATCAACCTACTGCACCAATTTGAGAGATCCATCCTGCAACCGTGATAGGTTAGACACTTGATTAGTCTACGATCAGCACAAGGAAATAGATGCGTTACACTGAGCTTTTCCGTTACAAACACAAGAAAGTCTCGTTTTGCAAAGAAAGCACGGACTACTTCCTTGTCTCTTGCCATGAACTTGACACAGCACATAACCCAAGGTGATCTGAATCAAAATGAATAAAGGAGAATAGGGGTTTTCTTTTTCCTTCTTATACCATCGAGTCGAATTACTTAAGAAACTAGAGATATAGGCTCTAGCGTCATTCAGTTAGTTTCTGCTGACTAAGTTAGTTGAAAATGAGGGTCCAAAATTTTCACAATTATTATATCAACTCAAAAAAAAACTGCTATTTCCGCTTCAAAGGAAAAAGGTGATGAAATTTGGACAGTATTTCTACGCTATTTCTTGGCTAAACAAAAATGATCATTTTTTGTGAAATACAGTAGATTTCTATTGGGTAGCACAAAACTGAATCAGCTCACTCTCCTCATATGAGCAATGCAGAAAAATAGAGCCTTTTATCCTAATCCCAAGTTGAAATTTCATAACCTTGATGAAGAATCAAAATCAAAATTATCAGATTTTCTTAAACCTTGAATTTTTTGACGCTTTAAATTCTCAAGATTTAGACACTCGTTTAGTCCGTTGGCAAAATTTTAGCTAGTTGAATTGTAATAAAACGATTGCATATTTTATTTTAACTTTGACTCGAAAAAATAGAGGAGAAATAGATAAAATTCCTCATTTGAATTGAAAATATGGAAAAAAAACTGCTGCATTTTGCATCATAGCTTTAGATGCTCTAGATTATTGTAAGTTGAATTCATTACAAATTTGAACTCATGATTAGACATAGTCAAAGTAAAATAACGATTATTGGATATATCATAAATGACATGACTGTTTTGACATTGTTCAAGTAACTTAACAAATGAGCTTCATTATTTTTTTCATTTCATGGTACTTAGAGAAACTTGAACAAATATTATTCAAATTTCATCAAAATGACTCACAAATTTTTCATCACAGATTTATTATTATGATCAAAACTGGTGTATCAAATTCTCTGAAGATATTTTTAAAAAGTGAAGTTCATATTTATTGAATTTTATCAAAGAAAATTTTCTGTCATTATAAAGAATGCATATAAATTTTGAAATTTGTTAAAAATTTTATTCAATAAAATCTCTACTACAATATGATGAAAAAAATTTCATGTATAATAAACTGTCAGATTCATCGCTACAATCAATACTTTTTTTGTAAATCTAATCCTTTTAACAGTTTAAGCTAATAGACTACATGAGTTTATCAGCAAGCACATAGCGAAATAAAGTATTTCAAATCCTAAAGAAGTTACTAAGAGAATTTGGCTTGTAGAAACTTTACAAGGGAACAAGTCCATCTAGCTACCGTTGTTGCAGACAGTCTCACTTTTAGTATACTGTTAATTTCTAGACTTATCTGCTGCTATTTGTAAAGACTCAACTAAAGTCTTCGATATGGATAGAATTTGTTTTCAGTAAAGTTATGTTTTCGAGGGCCATCATTTTTTCACAAATATGTCCACGGAAGTTGTCAACTTGGCTTTTCTTCAACGTAGGGATATATCGCATTATCCTATTAACCTACAAGATGAACATCCATTTAGAAAATTCAAGTTGGTGATCTCATTAACTTGTAATAATACACAGAGCACATTAAATGTTACTTTTGATGAGGTCTTACGTTGTGGATCTTACATTATAGAGTCGTAAAATGGAAAAATCATTTCCATATGTACTCGGGTTTCAGCCCCAAAAGTAGGTATTTCAACATACACTCAACCTACATATAAACTAAGCAGACGTATTTACAGTTCAAAAACTGGACCATATAAACCTATTTCTCTTAAATCCTCAGGCGCTATGGGATTCGTGCCATAAATCTAGTAAATTCTGTTTTAATTTTAATTCTACGTTTTTGCAATACTTCCGCGTTACAAAGCACTTGTATTGTTGAGTGCAGGTTCAGTGATTCATGCCATGTTGGATGAGCAAGATATGCGTAACATGGGAGGGCTACTAGAACTTGTTGCATGTGTAAAATGACAAGTTAAGTGTCACGCGGGTCAAAGCTTTCCAGCCCGAAATCGCAAATGAATCATGGCTTGTTCCAAGTATCATCACTTCTCTCTCGATGATACGCATAGTGGAGGGTAAAAATATTCCTAGATGCAATTACCACTCAAGCTTCGATATTGATGGGCCTCGTGCTCCGACGCTGAGACTCGTAGCAACCGCATAACACAGCGGATAACATATGCGACTCTGCATGTAGAGTGTTGGCTTCCCTTTTGGGCTGTGGATAGAATGAATGTGTTTGCGGGCTGGGCTTTGCTGGACTGGACTGGACGGCACTTCCAAACAAGATCTATCAATAACACGAACGCGTTTTGGAAGCCCGGTCAGTTGAAACATTCAAACGTAATAGCGACAAATAGCTCATCACGATACCATTCGCTTTGACCAGGCTCTGGGTTTTGTCTCCTTGTTGTGGGATCACCGATCGATGACACCTTTGATCGGAACACAGTGCTGGATTCGTAAAACCCCTTCTCTACAGTTTCACCGAGCACTCAATTGCAGTTATCTCAGGCGTTGACATGGAAGATGAATGAAAAAAAAAGTCCTCTTTCGCATGTCGGTTCCCGAAAGAGGAACTCTGATTCACCAGTTCTCGATACAGAATTCAGCCAACTTTGTATCTTGGCCTTAAATGGAGCGAACAGTCACGACCTCCACTACTGGATGCAGGGTGGATCAGTGTGGAGGATCCTCGAGTACATCTTCGTGTACGTCTTCGTTACTTTGTTAGCTTATCTCCAGTGGCTGGTCGGTTTAGAGATAGGAGGCCCCCGCCGCCATATCAGACAGCATGATTCGAGCGAGCCGTTGTTGACTAGCACGGCAGTCCACCACATGAGGCTACTCTACTCTTGTAGAGTATCGTGGCCGAGAGGAGGTTGACTTGCGCCCCCGTGATTTAGACACAAGCCTCTCAAGCTCGTAAGACAATGGTTGGGATTGGTTGCTCCAACTTCCTTCAGGTCCACTTTTTTGCGTTGACCGAATACATGCTAATCAAGGCGATGCCGAGGCAGAATAAATAGTTCCCGGAGATCGGTCATATCATCACAGCAAGTCTGAGGAGGCGGAAGCGAGTAAGGTTCTGCAATCCAGTTCCCCCTTTGAGAAAATACACGTCGCAGTGCGGAAGGTAATCTTGAATCTTGCATCTCGAAGTCAGAGGTCTCTGGCTCTTTGAAGCTGCCCGCTGCTGGACCTAGGACAGGCTTGGTAGCTTTGAGTTAGCTAAGTTGGCCCACGTCTGTCTCTCTGAAATTGATTCGCTCTTGCATGTAAGAATCGAATCAAATGTTCTTCTCAAGCTCTTCGACTGTTTAGTAACAGCTACCCGATCCGCATGCATGTGGATTTGAGGAGCTTGTCCGTAGACTCATCTTTCAGGCTCACCATCAGTGGCTCCTTTCGATCTCATAGCTCCAGCACTCGATTCGATTTCGTATTAGCTTTGATTTGAATCGTGCTGGATTGAGTTCACTGGAAAGGATCTAACAATTGGTCATCTATGTGAATTGCAGGATTCTAGATTCGTTCGATGAAAGCCAAATCAATGCTCAGAGGGGCGATTGCAGCTGCGGCTGCAGCCTTGCTCCTGCTAGCAACTCTCAACGGAGTATCTGCGCAAGGCGCTCGATGCAATGCTCAAGACAGTCAAGCTTTACTGGATTTCAAAGCGTCTTTGGTCGACGAAGAGGGGATCTTCAACACTTGGGTGGCTGGCACCGACTGCTGCCAGTGGAATGGAGTGGCGGCTTGCGATCCGGTTACGGGGCGAGTGACGGAGCTGAATCTGGGAGGCTCAGGCACTAGCCCATCTCGCAATCCCAGCTTCAAGGGCGTGGTCGGCGAGTCTCTAGGGCGTCTGTCGGGAATCGGAAGCATTGTCTTGGAGTTTTTCGATCTGCAATCCGAAATTCCTGCGTCGCTCGGCCAGCTGAGCAATCTGTTCCAGCTCGTGCTCGGGAACATGGGCCTCGTGGGCAAGATCCCTGCCTCCATCGGAAACCTCGTAAAGCTTCAGAACTTCAATGTGAACGGCAACGCTCTCGTGGGACCGCTGCCCGTGGAGCTTTGCAAACTCGTCAACATCAAGGATGTGGATTTCGGAAGCAATCAAATCGGAGGTAATCTACCAGCTTGCATAGGTACTTCATGGTTACAAATAGAAGAGATGGATTTCAGAAACAACTTACTCACTGGTCCATTTCCAAATATCGGCAACCTGCAATCGCTCCTGCTGCTGTGGCTGAACAAGAACAAACTCAGTGGCCGTCTGCCGTCGAGCTTGGGGAGGCTCACTAAACTTGAACGTATGGACGTGAGCGAGAACCAACTTTCGGGGCCCCTTCCGAAGGAAATTGGTAACATGAAAGGTCTCACTGATCTCGTCTGCAGCAGAAACAAAATTAGTGGTAGCATTCCTGCGCAACTTGGTAACCTTGACCAGCTAGCAGCTTTATATCTCGACAGGAACCAACTGTCCGGAAGCATTCCTACTTTCTTGGGAAACTTCAAGAGTATCCGAATCTTGGACCTGAGCAGAAACAAGCTCGTCGGAAGCATCCCACCACAGCTTGGCAGTTTGACCGACGATGAGAGTGTGCTGATTGACATCTCCTTCAACAGATTGACTGGTCCCGTGCCTCCGTCTGTGGGAGGAGTGCGTGGTGGAACTTTCCTCGCAAATAATAATGCTCTGACCGGTGGATTCAACTTGGCGCTCGCTCGGTTGAGCACTGTCAACCTCGCCAACAACAGGCTCAGTGACGCCAGGAAGATCGGCACTCTCCCGACCGGAATCGATAACCAGCTCATTTTCCTGAACCTGGCAAACAACAAGTTCTCTGGCATGTTTCCTTCGTGGATCTTTGAACCTTCCTACATCGAGCTCGATCTTTCCGGGAACAAATTCCGAGGCTCCCCACTCCCGTTCTTTGACAGAGATATCAGCAACCTGAACCTGTCGTCCAACCCTCTGGCCACGACTCTGCCCACCGCCAAGTTCAAAGCTGGTTCCTTGAGCGTGCTGGATTTGAGCAACTGTCAGCTGTCGGGCCCGATCACTTCCCAGTTCCTATTCAATCTGAATCCTGCGGTGAGCATCTACTTCAAGAACAACAAGTTGTCAGGACCGCTGCCTCAAGACATCGGGACTTCTTTGTTCCGCTGTTCCGAGCTGGATCTGTCCAATAACCTTCTGAACGGCACCATTCCAGCCTCTTTCAGCCGGTTGGACAATTTGAACTTCCTGGATTTGTCCGGAAACCAGTTTGAGGGAAATGTCCCGAGCATTCCTTGATCCATTGTACCGTAGATAGAAGAGTTCTCGGTTCTCAATTGTTGAGCGTCAATTGCGTCAACTTATGCTCATTGTAACCAGGGCAGACAAAACCTAGAAACTAGGAGTTGATTTTCGTTGGCTTCGTGTATGGACTCGAGGCTTGGGGTTGACCTCAATAGTCCAGTGTACCAGCAGAAGTGTAATTGTAGATAGAAAGGAGTGAGGAGCTCAGACAGAATTGATCTCTTTCATTCTACATCATGATTAAAGATTTTTCAAATGTTTAAGCATGATTCATGCACGATATGCCGTGATCCTCATGGATTTGCTGTCTGAACTATCCCGTCAAACATGCCGTAAACACGTCAGTCATCCTTTGGCAGAAGACTTTCCTGATTCCGTGGCTCTCACAAGCTACGCAACCACTCATATCGAATTGCTATCAAATTTATTTAGGCTACATCAGCTGTTCTCTGAGCTGTCTGGCCTAACAGCAGTGCAAGATGGATAAGACATTGACTAGATCGTATAATCTTTGCCCCGTCTCGACTTTTCTGAACAAGAGTCTCATCTGCCTACTTATCTGGCTATTCTTACATTGACTAGATCGTATAATCATTGCCCCGTCTCGACTTTTCTGAACAAGAGTCTCATCTGCCTACTTATCTGGCCATTCTTACATCTCCGAATTCCGGTCCGACACTCGAGTGTCCGACTGTTGTTGAGGTCCAATTAGCGTGCAAACTCAGTGACCTGGTCCAACTGACTCAACCATTTTTCTGAACTCCATATGTATCCTACATAGCTTCTAGGGAGGTCCTCTCGGCAGGCTATGACAATTGCATAGAAAGCCACATACGAGACAGACGAGAATTCCGCTTGCCATGGATGAGCCCAAATCCACTCACTAATATCTGATCACTACTCTCCAGTGTCACGAAAAATGACAGTACTGTACTCCGTATCTTGCTGCGATCTCAGACTCACGGCATTCCTGAAACAGTCTCTTTATTAGCTAAAACTGGAGATAGAATTTCAAACGAGACGTCAGAAGCTTGAGATCGGCCTCACTCTGGAGGAGAGAGATTCTGTCAAGTTCATTGACAGTGAATCGAAATAACAGATTACGGAGTAAATGGTGAACGCTGCGTTGGTCAACTTCGGACATTTTCAGCTGACAGGTGTGAATCTTTCATTGCCTGCAAGTGAGCCTGATATCAAATCCCAACAGTGTACGATCTTGTCTGTCATCTTACAATTCAAGGCGATGACGAGATGCCTGTTGAGGGCTGGAGACAACAGAAGCTTGGACACATGCGAGTAAATGAAGATCAGTGAAATGAGTATTCCGGACATGTTCGCAAAGGAGGATCCCGACTTCGATTCCACCCATCGTTGGATTCTTCACCTTCGAGTGGTGTGAAGGATTTTAACTGATGAGCTCACTTTTGTCGCGCTTCAACCGCGTTCATTTTCGGATGGTCCTCTCAACAGAGAAGCATGTTCCCAAATCTTGTGAGACTGGACTGTTGCAATGACATCATTTGCTACTTGCTGACATTCAGCAATCCGCAGTGCGGCATGCTGAGAGACCCCAAATGCTGCTAAGAATAGACAGCTCTTATCTATTTGAGTACAGCTTGTCCAACCGCACAAATATAGATCACGCTCAGTGGTAAGCGTGCTGCTTCTTCGCTCACTCGAGAGTTAGAGTGACTGGGTCGCGCAATTCAACGGTAATTGTGGTGATTTGATCCGGACAAACTTGCACATTTCGACTGCTAATTGTTGGAGACGGATTTGAACCCAGAGAACAAAACTTTCTCCGAGTGCTGGGGGAGTGACGGAAATGCAACACCAGAAGTTTGTAGCGATGTACACGAAAGACGCGTTGGTGGCACTGGAAGTCGAGTTTCGTCCGGTTGATATTGTGGTGGATTAGGAAGAATAGGGTTAGCCATGCCAATAGCTGGAATTGAGTGCGGTTTTGACACACGTCTTGGATACAGGTCGAACTAATCAGATATATAGAACGCCTACGCAGTATACAACTGTTGAAAACGATCCTAAACTCACTGGCGAAATGAGATGCCAAATTTTCGAGCCTGATATTGAAGTTTCAAAAGCGTTTCTTACAAATTTTCAGCTCTCATGAAAGTATTGATGTCCGGAAATTTGAGCTCCGAAATATACAAACATCCAAACATTTATTTTTTATTTCTATTGTTTATTAAATTATTCATTTTTAAAAATTCAATTTTTGATTAATGTAACTATTTTCAAGCGAATAGATAAATATCACAAATAAATTTTCTATTGTATAGATTTTATTATTATTTAAAATCAACACAATTTTAATATAAAGTTATTATTTAATAATTTATCAAATATTTGGATTTGATTTTTCAAAAACATACAACCCCTCAAATTCACATACATATATCTATGGTCATAATAATATGATAAATTTATCCAAATGTATGTTTTAAATAACATTATCAATTGGATATGATAATAAATAATATATAATCAGATTTCATCATTTTTTGTACATCTTCACACTTATCAACTATCAATATATTTTCAACTATGTTATCCAAAGCATTCTCTTTCATTTGTATTTGAGTTTTTTTTTACATGATTAAATTCATATTGAACATTTATTATTTTTAAAAACTTCAAGGAATGAAATTTTTTCATTGTTCATATGAAAAATCTTGACAATATTTCATCTTTTAATAAACTAAGTCTATAAATAATCAACTTACAATTTTACATTTTACATCATTATTAACATTTTATATCATTTGCATTGTCGAGTGAATACGTATCGCCATACATACTACATCAATGACATGCTATTCACATACACACACATAAGATATAAGATCGCAAACACTCAAATGTACCATAATTGAAAAGTACGGAATTTCCCCACTGGAAACCCGTCGGTCTTATTACCCTACTGGAAAAAAAACCGTCACCATCACAAACAAAGTCAAGCCCAACCCACTCACACTCAAAGATTCCAGGTCTGACGCTCACGGTCACTACTCCCAACGCGCTAGGCTCGACTCGAAGAACTGACGTTCTTCAAGTCTCCTTCGACGCTATACCCTACGACGTGAAAGCCTAGGCAACTACTTTTTTTAGCAAAACCAAAAACTACATGATAGCTGTCATGCGGATACGTATCGCCATGCATCCTACATCGCTGACATGCTACTCACATACTCACACACACACATAGGACAAGAGAGCGTACACACTCAAATGTACCACAACTCGCCCCCCTAGTTGGCGGTCAGGTCCTTTTGACTTCTAGATAACTCTATCTACAACAACATGCTATACACCTTCATGGTTGCGTGAAGGAGTAGGCCGGGTGCTATGTCGTCCCATCGTTAGTCGCCTATCTGCAATTTATAACATGTGAAGCCTTCGCTTCGGGAAGGGGGAAGGCACTGGAAACACCCGGGATGTGATTTGGAACACGATGGGCCTTTGCGTGCCTCGATCGGCAAAAGATCACTGGAGTATAGCACATGATCGTGAAATCTTGTAATAGAGTCAACATGTCAACAAGGTAAACCCAACGAGCTCCTGAAAAGGAGGTCGTGAGATTAGATACCGCATAGTGGGCAGAAGACGATACAAAAGGCGAGGGCTGACCTGTTTATATAGCTTTTCTTCCCAAGAGTCTTCTCAAAAGTAGAAAAGTATTTTATAGTCAATAGAGAATATTCTCCATTTTGAACATGAAACCAACTCATCTACTCCTCTGAAGTACATAGAGGACAAACTCATCTTCCAGCCGGAATAACATAGATAGGCGGAGTTAGGCACGACATGTGCCATCCCCTAGAGCATCTATCACACACCAACATACGAGCCGCCTGACCAACTGACCCACACAGCATGCACCTCAAGCCAGCACGTACTATTGCTAAGCTTGGATCCATAGTGCCATCTACGTTTGGGAGGTGGCATGGCGCACAATTGCGCACATGATCCTTCCAAACAACGTCGTCACGACCCTCTAACAGGAGAACTCCAGAAGGTAACACCTCCCGCACTCGTAAGATTGTGCGTTCCGCCGTCACATCCAATGTCGTCAGTGCAGTCTGCTGTAGATAGACGTAGTCTCCCACATAGAATCTACGAATCGATGGTCGATAACCTCCTCCCCGAATGGTTTCATATCGCAACGTATCTCTATGTTGAGCAATCGCAAGATTATCAAACGCTGCAGGCATAACTCTCCGAAAGAGCTCTACACGCTGAGAACATACTCTCACTCACATATTCGAGTCATCAAGATTCATCACCTCGTTAGACTCACGACGAATCAATGTTGGCAAGTCTGGATCTTGGCCGTATAATCAAAAATATGGTGAGAAGGAAGCCAAGCATGCCTGCCGACTAAACGAATATCCCATGGCCAACCATGGTAACTGATAATCCCAGTCCCCAAGATTACCTTTTTGGAGGCCATACTTGCGCAACGTCCTCTTCACCGTCTATACAACACGTTCAGCTAAACCATTCGACTCTGTATGATCTCGCGACGTGGTCCGGTGATCAATCAGCGCCTTGTTACACAAGACCTGAAACTCCGTCCCCTGATCGGTCAACACCTCAACTGGTGCACCATAGTGACTAAGCACCCTATCAAGGAAGGCATATGCTGTTCCCTCACTCGCCCTATTAGGTAATGCCACCAACTCAATCCACTTGAAGAAATGCTCTACCATGACCAACACATACTGATGATGTCGTACAGTCAAAGGTAGTGGTCCAGCAAAGTCCAAACTCTAACGGTAACCCAACCCAATGATGGGTAATGGATGTAACTCTGGTGTCGGGGCATTGAACGATGCCCTCACCCAATCACAAGCTATGCAACGTGATACCAACTGCTGTACCTAAGTATGCATACCACGCCATCAATACTGACCAAGGAGTAAGCTGTATGTACGCTTCACTCCAAAATGTTCCAACTCCTCATGAGCATGCCTCACAATGCATGCTCTCTTAGCTGGATGTGGTACTACTCGTACCCTACCGTTCTCCCTCACTCTAAGAACATGTGATCCCTCCAATCGGTACCTCTTTGCCTGTTGGAGAACACGATCTCGCTCCTTGGCAACCATTGTGCCCGGCACCATACTGGTCCGTAGGAACTCCAACATCAATGCATCATCGTGAACATCACGCTGATCCACACCACCATCCTCAACCTCAGGATCTGAAGATTGATCATCTACTCTCTGACTAGAGTAAGATGTCAGATGATACTCT